AGGTTCGACCTTGTCTTGCCTAATGTGAGCATATGCCACACAACCAAATACTCTCAGTCTGTCGAGACTAGGTGGATATCCCGACCAGACTTCTTCAGGTGTCTTCATTCTCAAGGCAGTCGAGGGACATCTATTTATCAGGTAAGCTGCTGTCGAAACAGCTTCCGCCCAAAACACCTTCTTCAATCCAGCACTAACCAACATGCATCTAACCCTTTCAAGGATTGTTCGATTGAATCTCTCAGCTAAGCCATTTTGTTGAGGAGTACCTGCTACAGTCTTATGTCGTGCAATCCCAGACTCAACACAGTAACTGTCGAACGCTTCATTGCAGAATTCAAGGCCATTGTTGGTTCTCAACCTCTTAACCTTTCTGCAAGTTTGAGTTTCGACCAGAATCTTCCAACTTTTAAAATTCTCAAAAGTTTCATCCTTCGTCTTCTGAATGAATACCCATAGCTTTCTGGAATAGTCATCAACGATGGATAGAAAATACCATGCACCTGAGTGTGAAGGATTCCTTGCAGGTCCCCAAAGATCAGCATGAATGTAATCCAGGGATCCATGTGTTCTTTGCTTGCCTTTGTTAAACATCGCCCTACAGGATTTACCAAATATACAAGATTCACAGAATTCTAACTTTTCGACTTTGTCACCTCCTAGAAGGTTCTGCTTCCCCAATTCGACCAGGCCTCTTTCGCTGACATGGCCCAATATCATGTGCCATAATTCTGTCTTCGATATAAGTTTCATGGATGCAACATTTATCGAACCACTTACAACCTCAGCCTCAAGGGTATACAAGCCTTGTTTCTTTACGTCTCTCAAGACTTCCTTCGACCCCTTCATGACTCTTAAGATACTTTTCTCTCCTTGAAAAACGTATCCTTTTCTGTCGAATTCACCAAGAGAAATCAAATTTCTCTTCAAGTCAGGTATGTACCTGACTTCAGTCAATAACCTTATTGACTCATCATGGAGCTTGAATCTCACAGATCTAATACCTGCAATTTTGCAAGATTTATTATTTCCTAGCAGCACAGATCCACCATCTTGATCACATAGCTCCTCGAACAATTCTCTGTTTGGAGTCATGTGCCAAGTGCAACCTAAATCCATAATCCACTCTTTCCTCGAGTCGCCACTTGAAACCACAAGAACATCAGATGAATCGAAATCATCTTGAACAATGGCTGCATTGTCATTACCTCCATGATCTTTCAGGAGCTCAGGGCACACCTTTATTATGTGACCTTCCTTCTTACAGTGATAACATTGAATACTAGATGTTTCTCCACTATAAGACTTCTGTTGACTTTTACCTTTCTTCTTGTCGAACTTACCATCCTTTCGCAAGAATTTTCCCTTAACGGCCAAACCTTCGCCCACCGTCGAAGCTTTATGCTCCTGTCGTTTGTTCAAGTCCTTAGAATACAAGGCTGATTGAACTTCTTCAAAGGTCAGAGACTCACTTCCATACAAGAGAGTTTCTTTGAAGTGGGCATGTGTTCTGGGCAAAGCACACAGCAACAATAGTGCTTGATCTTCATCATCGATCTTCACATCAATATTTTCAAGATCAAGAATCAGCTTGTTGAACATATCCAACTGCTCGTCCAACACTTTGTCTTCACTCATCTTGAATGAATATAAAGCTTGCTTTAGGTAGAGTCGATTCACCAGAGATTTGGTCATGTACAAACTTTCAAGTTTCACCCATAATCCCGATGTTGTAGTCTCTTTTGATATCTGTCGAAGAACCTTATCACCAAGGCTCAACAATATTGTGTTGTGGGCTTTCTCGATCATGCCCGTCTTTTCTTTTGCCGTTAACGCAACGTCCATGGCTGCCTCACCCTTCAACGCTTCCAGACAACCCTACTGAACCAATAGGGCTTTCATCTTCAAGTGCCACAGACCGAATTCGTTCACTCCGGTGAACTTTTCAATCTCATACTTTGTTGAAGGCATCTTCTCCACGCTCACCGCACCAATTTGTTGTGAATCAGATACCTTTAAACACAATATAAACGGTTTCTTTGTGATCAAGAAACACGCAAGGGTTAGGGTTAATAAAAAAGGAAAACAACAACAACAAGGATTAGTTATTAAACTGTTATTCTTTCCTTTCTCTTAGAACAAAATTACAAGTATACAAGAATAAGAAAATAACCTCTCTCCTTTGAAATTAGGATTTTATCTTCCTATTTTTCCTTATGCCAAGATTGAGAAACTAGCATCTTATTTATAATAAAATAGCACACTAACCTAATGGGTTTTTAACAATTACCCATTACAAGCTAACTTAGGGTATAAGCTAACTTAAACAATTGGGCTTACAAGCAAGGCCCAATTAAACATGCTAACAACCCTAGCAATATTGACTAATGCATGTTAGAACAGACTTCGACTACAACATGAATTACTCGCGAACAGACTTCGATCATACTAGAGTTCGATCTAATATCTCACAGTGTACAACCATATTTGGAGTTATTTGGACCTATTTTCCCTTCTCGCACATATTTCTGATAAATAAAGTTCAATTTCGCTTGAGACATATTACCGACCAACTGAATATAGAATTTTTTCTTTAAACCTATGTTCTAATATTGTGATGTTGCGAACAAATGACGTATGTATCTCATTATGCTGCAGTTCAATCATTTTATTCACTGACTCATAAACCTTGCAAAAATTCCCCTTACTATCTTTCAATCAAATCTTTAATGTAGCATGAGCGGATTCAACTCTAATAGTTGTGGTACTTCTAAAGTGTCTAACTTGATTAGTCTATGCACAAATAATTTTCTCCTTTACCTAATTTAATATTGTAGTTTCAATATATTTCAAAAAATCTAGATATTTCACATACGAACTTATGAATTGTATGACATATTTAACATATAACTCCTCTATAAAAAAAATTGATTATAGCATTCCTAACATCTATTGTAGTCTTCACCCTTGATTTGTTTGTTTTCCAATGCACCATTAATTTACTTCTCATATCTTTTGTTAAATGATACCTACACATTAAAGTATATGATATAGGGAATTAATTTGCAATTGAATTAATCAGTGAGGTATCGGGAACGATGATAATCACATGTGGTATTTTTTTTAGTACTCAACATATTCACAATTTCAAAGCTTATCTAACACTAACCTCTTTTTCACATTCCAAAAACGAAAAATCAACTAAATATGACATCTTTGTAGAAATAACACCAATAATTTTAAGAAGAGGAATATTATATTAATATTTGTTAGTCTTATATGTTGAATCAATTATTAATGTTATGGAAAATGTGTTAAACAACTTGATAGAATAAGAGTGCGTCTAAAATATATCACTAACACTTTTTCCATCCTGACACACTTTTACCTAAATACATAATGATTTGTCATTCAATAATTTTAACAATTGTTGCATTTTAGATCTTAAACTCATTATCGCATTGTTGTTTCTCTAACAAATATTATAAACTTACTTAATATTTGAGACATTTTTGTTTTTTTTTTCCTTTTCCAGATTGCAAATATGTTTTTGGGCTAAACCGTGTTTATTGTCATCTCAAAAACAAATTTCTTATCTTTAGAATCTAAACAACAGGCATTCGAATAAACAATTCACTTGTGACTCAATCCATGATCTCAAAAACAAATTTCTTATCTTTAGAATCTAAACAACAGGCATTCGAATAAACAATTCACTTGTGACTCAATCCATGATTATGTAAACTATAAACATGCTAAATATCCAAGTATAACCATAATCCGACCGCCTGATAATTTCTCAAAACTTAATTTGGCGGGCTCCATACAGACTCATATTGGAGCATATGTTCATATAACATTAATTCATATATAATGATAAAAAAGAAAAGTTATATCAACGTATACAACCCCTAGTTAATATAACCCCTAGTTATGGAATCTTATAGAAAACCATTATCTGATGCATTAACTTAGTTGACAACATCAAAGTGCATCATACATACGATGAATAAAAAATAAGACAATTTAAACATTAATTCAAAGGATCCAATGATACACTGCAGAGGTCTCCGAGTAGTACTCTTCAAACGATATTCTTGATGAAGAGAAAATAAATGATTATCGATTATCAATAATAGACATGTATATTATCTATAATTTCAATACGAGAAGTTTATAAAATTGAAACATACTAAACGATTTTGCAGAGGGAGTGTTCGTAAGCACTTAATTTACACTTTAAACCATGAATCAATACTTTATAAAATTGAAACATATGTTGATCTTCAGATTCTTCCCTGAAGAATTGAATCACTATACTGTCTTTTCAATATAAAGTTTATATTTTGACTTTAATTAGCATCGTATATAAAATCTCCATTCTTGACTTTTTAATTAGTCATTAAAGCACATGATTAAAATGGTAGAAATTAATTTCTATTTCTGTACAAGATACTGATTATAGACCATGAGTTCCTTTATATCATAACACCAATAATACTATGCAAGAAAATGAAGAAACCAATTTGATGCGCAGAAAAAGAGAAGAGAAAATGAAAATAAATAAAACAAATTTTTTATTATATTATTTTGATGGAGAAAATACATGAGTAGATTGTTCTTCCTGATTTTATTTTGATGGTGATGACAAATCTTATGATTGCACACAACCTCAGCATGTGATTTGCAGTATGCCTTATTGCATATTCAAGATATTGCATGCCAATGAAATCGATTTAAAACTCAGAAATTTGCGCCAAGCACAGCAAATATTATACTTAACTGAATTATGATCTTGAAACCTAAAAAAACCACATAGGGAGAATAAAAATGTAAAACTTAAATTTCAAGCCATTAAGTTAAGAGAAACATGCTCCCAACATGGAATGTTCATATTCAATATAAAGACAATGGACATAAAATGTTAAAATATATAGCTAGTGCGAATATTCCTCCAGCAAATTGGGGTAACACTTCGACACGCAACATCTCCACGAAATTTACTTGCGAGCTTCGGTTTTCTTTTGTTCTTTGGCTGAAACAAAAGTTACAATTATCAGTTCAAGTTTCATTCTTCAGGGCATGTCAGCAAAGAATAAGCACGAAAAAATTTATTCAATACAATTCGTACCCAATCTCTCTTCTTCTCGCTTTTTAGCAGCTTCAGCTCTTTCTTGACGTATCAGAGCTAAACGATCTGAAAGACAGATATAAAACATTAGAAATCAGGAATTCAAATATCATATAGTTGAATCAATTCAAGAAGATGGTATATAGTAAGCGCCTGTTTGGTTCGAGAGAAACTAGTACCTAGATCTTTCCTGGATTGTTCTGTTTTTCCTTGCTCTTGAAGTTTCATGTAGCGCTCATGAGCTCTTTGTTTCTCTATCTCCTCTCTGAAAATAAAGGCAAATTTTAAAATATTAAAAAATAAAAAATAAAATTTTTATTAATATAGAAGCTTCATCTTGAATATTTTGTCAATTTATAACTGCATTTTGTATGATTATTATCCCTGTAAAGAATAAGCACGGAAAATTAAGTATACCTTTCACGCCTTGAAAGCTCACTGGTTTTCCCAATCTGCATTTGGGATGGAAATAGCATTATTCTTTTCATATGATTTAATTGTTAAAAAGATATCTAAGAAAGGACAAAAAACGGAACAATGAACTCACATCAATGTCTCTGGCTTTAATGTTCTTGGGCTTTACCAAGTTAGGATTTTCAATTTCAATAACCCCTTGAACACCCTTTGCCTTCTGCAAACATTATATAGCAACATCGATTTCATATTGATGAAGGAAGACCATAGAAACAAGTGAAACATATTAAGGAAAAATACAAAAGAAGATTGTAGAGACGTCTTATTATAATGTACTGACAGTATTTTCATCTTCAGGTTCTTCTTCAGACTCGTCCTCGGAAACTTCCTTAGATGGCTCCTCTTCATTCTCAGCTTCTTTCTAATAATATTGTAAAGAAAATTACCACGTTAAATAATACTGATTTGTAAAACATCTACAGAAAATGGAAAATCATTTAAGACAAACAATGCACATAAAAAAATGAATTGTCATCACAGGATAAAGAATTGGGAACCCTGCAGTCCAGAAAATTATATAATCCTCCCACACAAAAGGTTAAAGTATATCTCTACTCTCAAAATATTGCGCGCACTAATTGATTTTGGTGCATGCTAAATTTAGAGCGCAGATTTCAAAAGTAAATTTGGTCCCTTCCTTTACCAAGCATCTATTGATTTGTGACACATGGAAAAAGATCCAAATTAACTTCGTCATGTCTGTTTTACCCCACATATCAACAAACATTTTCTGCATCTTCAACCCTTGAGTCAATTCCAATAAACTTCTTCTATATACTTCTCTTTTTTCTCTCTGGTGCCTGACCTATAGAGCTTCGGGTTATGGTGCTCACTAAATTAAGCAATCCAGAGCTCTTCTGCTCTTGAAACAGAGAAACTGAAGGGATGACAGCACATGGGCTAGGTAGTTGGTTGCACACACTTGATTTGATAACAAGCTTCTGAATGTTTGTTGTAGCACAGAGGCAAATACCCTTATCTAAATTGAAGCATCATGACATGGAAACATAATCTTCTTCATATCACTATTAGCCTATGAGAATGTAAAAATTGTATTGCTAGAATCCTTTGTGCAGCTGATCACATTGGTACATGCATGTCAATGACAGAAATATAAGGTGGAGTAGGAAGCAGAAGAAAACCTGTCTAAATGTCCTAGGACGGGTGGAGGTGCCAGCAACTGCATTAAGCATAAGAAACACCAAGTTTTCAGAACAGCTTGTTGAATTGATATAATTAAGAAATATCATATAATTTTCATCAAAGACATCATTGTATCTCAATCACAACTATAGTGCAACTTGTAGTTACCATAAAAAGAATCAAACAAAAGTGAAAGACTCAATAAGTTTCATATAGAGAAAGCTACAATCAGCAACTTTTTTTTATAAATTTTTAGATTAAATTATTACCTATTCGTCTACAGACCCAAAAAAATCAGTATCCTGAATTGAATTCTAACAACAAATTTTCAGAAAACTTCAAACATGCAGACCATTCAGATCTATCATTTCCATAAAAACTTCCATATTTTTTTAACAATAAACATCCTAATAGCAAATCAAAACCATTAAAGGCATACCCACAAGCCAAAAAACTTTAATTTAACCTAAAAATCAAATTTTGCAACAAAAAAATGGAATCATGCGATGTGTGGACGAAAATTAAAGCATACCCATCAACCATAATCTATCAAAGATGAAAAATATTATAGGAAATCGAGCAGGAAAAAAAAGGTGTTGATTGAATTGAACTTACCCATGTCTTCATGGCTAGAAAAGTTGCGGCGACCAGTGGGCTTGGCCTTGAACTTTCCCCTTCCCATGGTGGAAAGTGCAGAGGTGAAAAGTTGCGTGCGAGGGTTTTCGGTGGATTGAAATTGAAGAGAAGAGGACTAAGGGGGATGCACCTCGCCCAAATACTTTTCGTTTATCGAAAACCCTAGATTATTAATTCTGATCAGGTTATATACAATTTTGGTCTTATATTATAATCCATTTATTTTTATTCAACTTCTTTATTATTTAAATTCTAAATCTAAATTTAAATCTAAAAAATAATAATCTATAATATATATATATATATATATATATATATATATATATATATATATATATATATATATATATATATATATATATATATATATATATATATATATATATATATATATATATATATATATATATATATATATATATATATATATAAAATAATCTATAATATAAGAAAATTCAATCTTCGGCACATTTTTGTCTTTCCTTCTTATTCTGCCATCTCATTAAGATAAGGGTAATTTTGATCTAAAATTTATTTTTTTCAACCAAACTAATATATTTAACCAATTTAAATGGCAAAGTCATTATTTTATTTCTCTTTATGCACCTTTTTAAATGGTTTGTTTCCGATTGATTATAGTTATAGTTATAGTTATGCGGGTCTAACGAGTTACTCACGGTTCATATGAGCTAGCCCTAATGGGTGGCGGGTTTTTAGGATTTGACTAAAAAATACTTGAAAAATATGGACTTTAATTTTAAGGCACAAGCACTGTGATTTTTTAGGCATGGCGGATCGGGTCGTATGGGCTAGCCCATTCTGACAACTTTACATTTTAATATATTTTTTATTCTGGACTGACCCAATGACTAGGCATGACCCAACCCACTTCTGCTCACAGAACGGCCAAATTGCCTAAGTTCAGCCAAATTAGGGCAGCATTTACCTTTATGCCCATCTACTAGACAAGTCTGGTCGGATGACCCCAAGGGTCAGTTGTCCCTCCTCGGTAGTTCCTGCCTATCATGCACGATTCCAATATCCAGAAACGATCACGACGCCCGTGACCGCAACTGCGCCTCTACCTGTAGCAACGGCTAGTTTCAGGCACCTCTGTCCATCCCAATGGCTAGTTTCTGGCAGTTACTTATTCTTCAGGAAAGAGTTGTCTCGCCCCGAAAATAGGGACCAATGGCCTCATAGGTAGCACGAGTGTCGAGGATGTAATGGAGGTGAAGGTTGAACTCAATAAGGAATTCGAAATGAAGGATCTGGGAGCTGCCACCAGGATTCTTGGGATTGACATATGGAGAGATAGAAAGCAGTCGAAGTTGTGCTTATCTCAAGAGACATACCTACAAAAGTTACTCAACAAGTTTGGTATGTCGAATTGAAATCCAGTTGTGACTCCAACAAATCCTCAATTTAAGCTTAGTACTACTCAAAGTTCGAGTACTGAAGCTGAAAGAATCTATATGAGTAGCATTTTATATCCTAGTATAGTAGGTTCTTTTATGTATGTTATGGTCTGTACGAGGCCAGACATAGCGTATGGAGTGAGCCTTGGAAGCAAGTATATGGCCAATCTTGGAAAGGTGCACTGGCAAGCTTTGAAGTGGATTCTCAGGTACATAAATGGGTCTCTAAAAAGAGTTCTGATTTATGGTGGAGTCCGTGGTGATGATAGCAAAACCGAAATCGAAGGGTTTGTCGATTCTAATTATACAGGTTGTATGGATTCTAGAAAGTCTATTTCTGGATATGTGTTCACTATGTACGGCACAAGCGACGCTTCAGAAAGTTGTTGCCTTATTAACCACTGAAGCAAAATATATTGCCCTCACTGAAGCTGTGAAAGAAACATCGTGGCTTGAAGGTTTTGCAAAGGATCTGAAACTTCAAGATTGAAATATCATTGTTAAATGTGACAGTCAAAGTGCGATACACCTGTCGAAGAACTCAACTTGTCGTGAGCGAACCAATCACGTTGATGTAAGGCTGCACTTTGTCAGAGAGATAATCGAGCCTGGTGAAGTCCATATGCTGAAGGTTTCGTCTGATGACAATATTGTTGATATGATCACCAAGAAGTTGTCAAGTTGCAAGTTTTCCCACTGTATGCAGTTAATAAAGCTGCATGATGAAAGCTAGTTTATTCCCTATTGTTTGTAGAGTTAGATCCAAGGTGGAGATTTGTGAGATTTTTGGTTGAAATCTAGCTCTGTCAAGGAATAGCTTTCATGTGTTTCAGCAGGAGACAAGCATGAAGTCAAAGTTGGGTCACATACTGGTGTCGAAGGGTTGCATACTGTACTCGAAGCTAGTTCTAGTATGTAATGTCGAATTATATTATTTACTTATTATGTCAAATTGGGCCTTGTGTTAAGGATCCAATTGTTTAGTTAGCTTGTATTGTAAGTTAGCTAGTTAGCCTATATATAGGCTAGATCACTCGGGTTGTTGAGTGAGGCTAATTGTGATATTCATTTGTAATTAGGGCTGGCAATAAACTGAACCAACTCGAAAATAGTTCGGAATTCGGTTCGACAATTAATTCGTTGAACTTGATTCATGAACCTAATGAGCTGAATATGAGCAAAAATCTAAGTTTGTTAACTAAATGAGTTGAACTTGAACTATACATAGTTCGACTCGTTAAGCTCATGAGCCAATTCGATTATATATGAGAAGGATTATATTGTCTTTGAGAGTAGGTTTAAAGATTTAATATAAATTTTAACCTTATATTCTATTTTAATATAACGGTGTTAATTGATAATTTATATTCTCAAGTGAGCAAAATATTTCTAAGAATAATTATACAAATAAAATTAGAATCATATAAATTAATAAATTTTTGAATTATTATACATTTTAGACAAATTTAAATTTCAATTTAATAACTTTTATTTTATTTCAATACTTTTTTAAAAATAATATTAATATAAAATGTCAAATATATAAAAAATAAACATTAAAAAAATGGCTTTTAAGTCTGCGAAGCAAGAGAGTTGAACCTAATGAGATGAACCTAACGAGTCAAACCGAGTTGCTCGTGAACTTATAACGAGTCAAGTTTGAGTTTAAAAAAAAGTTCGTATCGAACTCGAACCGAGATTTGTGTTGAACCAATTCTTAACGAGTCGAGCTGAGCTGAGGCGAGTTTGACTCGACTCGACTCATTCCCAGCCCTATTTGTAAACCCTTATGAGAAAGTGAATAGTAAATAATTTGCCCTAATCATTCTCCTTAGTTCTTTTTTATCCTTTCTTCTTTCTCTCTTTCTTCTAACCGTTTTCATTATTCACCCAAGAACTCTGTTTCTCAATTTTTATTTGTTGAAAGGTATTGTTTATGATCACAACAAGTTTAATATGTTTATTGTTTATATGGTATTTGAATTGCTAAATTGTTGAAATATCATATGCAAATGCAGATTATTATAGCAGATGCAGATTATAGAACATGTTCTATTTGTTTACATATTCTATATGTTCCATTTGTTTATAGATTCTACATGTTCCAAATATAGAACATGTTCCAATTATAGTCATTACATAGGACATGTTCCAATTAAAGGACATGTCAGTTTCAAATAATAGGACATGTCATGTTTCAATTACAGATGCAAATGCTTGCTTCAAATAATGCATAATTAACTGACAATGAAGTTGAGAAATTGAACATTACTTCATAATGATATCATTAAAGTCATTACATAGACAATAACTTATTCCAATACATAATGAGACAACATAAAACCTAATTTGAACTAATCTTGAGAAGGTTGAGGTGTTTGTGATGAATTCCCAATTTCTGTTACAACTGCCTTTATCTTCTTTCCACCTTTTGTTTCAATTTTCTATTTCTTTCCATCCTCTAATGCCTTGCCCTTGTTCTTGTTATCGCCTTTGGGAATGGCTCTCTCAGCAACCCTCTTTTCTTTGCAATTCATTTTGTTGTGTCCCATAGCACCATATTTATGACAGCTCACAGCTGTAAGCTTCCTAGGAAGTACATATGGATTTCTTGGTTCATCATTCACTTTATTCCTCAACTTCTTGGGTCGACCAATGGACCTTTAGAGCACTGGGGGTTTGATTGGTACCTGGCCCTCTAACAAAGGTCATAGTTGGGGCCCATTTGTAGGGTAAATTATATGTGAATAACTGTTATTGAAAAAAGACTTCCAGCACAACCAATTCAACAATATCTCAGCATAAATTAAGTCATAATAAGCATATACATATGGTGAATGCACAAACCTGTAATATTCAGAGACATAATCCTCAGTTTTTTTTTTGTTTTGCCATATACATGATATGGTATGACTACAAAGAATACCAGTCAAATCCCATTTTCTACAAGCACATGTCTACTGTTTCAGATCTACAAAGTATGTATCTATGCCACTGGTGACACCAAAGATAGCAAAATCATCATCACCATGCCATGTGGGTGTCCAACTTTCTGCATTTTTTTTTGTTCTTTTCAAGTAGCAATTGAATTCTAGGGCAAATATCACCAGTGTATGTATTCATTAGCTCTTTTTGACTAGTAATCCTCTTAGTCAAGTAATGTTTAATACCCTCCAACAAAATGATTATGGGTTTATCCCTACATTCTAGAATTGCCCTATTAAAGGCCTCGCACATATTATTAACTTATAAATCACACTTAAAGTATGTTTTGAAATGTGACGTGGTCCATAAGCGAGTAGGGATGTCTAACATATCATTCCAAGTTGCTTCCTTCAAAGATTTTAATCGTTGCATTGCCCTCTAGCATGTTGGAATGGATGTAGCTCTTGCATCACTCCATATTGCCTCTTTCAATTCAAGTCTTGGATGTTTCTTTTTCCAATTTCCATAGAGATACTTCACACATAGTATTTGCTCCATATGTTCACTTACACTTTGAACAGTTAGTACTAAACCCTAAAGAAAATAATAATCATGTTATGCAGTTTTAGTATGACATTACAACATTATAAAAATGAAAATCAAAATGAATATGTAAGGGATACCTTTTGCTCATCTAAAATGA